ATTCTTTATCTTATAGACCTATTTAGGTCTTTCTCTCCTTCCTTTCCTTCTTCTCTAGATCTATCTTTATTATTATATCTAGATAGAGATAATCGATTTAGATCTCCTTTTCCTACTTACGCTAGTATATAATACTATTAAATTACTAATTAAATTAACTAATTTACTATTAAAATATATTAATAGAGGTATAGTTTAATCCTTTTCCCTATTATTTAGACTAGACTAGATATTACTTTTACTAATTAGCTACTAGCTAAATCTCTTATATATTATAATAAGAAGTATCTAGCTATAGTAGACTATCTAATTTCCTATCTATATAGTATAAAAGATCTAGCTATCTACTTTAGTATTAGCTAATTAACTAACTAGATCTTTATTACTTTATCTAATATAAGCTTTATTAATAATCTTAATAGGAAGTTATCAGAAGGTTTTATCTTCTCTCTATCTAGTAGTCTAATTAAGTAAAAACCTTATAAGTAGAAAACGATTACTATATTAATTACTAAAGCTAAATTACTAGCTATCTTATATATAGCTAAGTAGCTATATATAAGCTATATTAGATTAAACGTCTCTTCTTATTTATTAAATTTAATACTAACTAACTAGAAGTATTAAATTATAATAATAAATAAACCGTTAACTTATTAAATTATAAGAAACTAGTATTTTAGACTAAACTTCGTTATATAGATATTAACTACTTATAGATTCGTTAAGAGATATAGATAAAGTATCTATCTATCTAATAGGTTAAAACTATTAATATACCTATTAATAGTCTTACTAAGTATCTATCTAGGGAGAAATATAACGATTTTATTAGATAACTAGATATAGAGATACTATCTCTTATCTAGTTATTCTCTTTTCTCTTATTTAGTTCTTAATTTACTCTTATTTTAATCTTATATTAAGAACTAAGGGGATATATATTACGCGGTGCCGACTAGTCACTATAAGTTAGAAGATTCACGGGTTATACTTACCTAGTTCTAACGGCGGATTCTAAGAGTATCTCGTAACCGTACCGTTACTATATAAAGCCTTACGTCGGGTTCGGGTCCTATTAAGTATCTTATAGAACGTGCTAGAAGTACGCGCTAAGTAAGTTAATCACTAAGTGTTACCACTAAGTAAATCCCCTACTTATAGGTTAGGTTATCTTAAAGGTGAACTATAAAGTGTAAAGTACTAAAGGTAGTGTCGGACTCTAGGCGGTGACCATAAAGTCGTGGTTATACACACAAGACGATAGTGTGCATAAGGATTAGTAAATACTTAATATAGTGTCTGAATACACGGTTATGAGTCTATCGGTCGTGCGCACTTCTATGAAGGAGAAGTACCACGATTGTGGAAGAGTACCACTGATCTAGAAGAGAGATCACAAAGGATGATAAACTTGATTCAATTTAGTTAGGAAACATAGCAGTATTTATATCTTAGAAACATGGTAAAAGATCACATAAGAAAGGATAGAGAATTAGAGTATTAGATAGTCTCCTACCTAGATAGGCAATTCAGTGCGAGTATACAATTCAATACAAGATCGTTAAGGATCAATTCGATAGATCTTATAGAGAAGAAGATCTAGATATAGAGAGGGGTTATATAAGTAGGTCCTTCGTCATATGACCCTATAACATCCATATATTAACAGGTAGTAACTAAGTAATAATATAAGATTAATCGCGAAGAACTAAATATATAATACGAAATAAGTGTCCTTATATATCTAGCTCTTCCTACTCCCGACCTACTCCCTAGGAGTAGATCTAGAGTTACCGTATACCCTATTGTATACTCCTTAGAGTCACGCTAGGAGTATATCCTTAGCGTCACGTGCTAGTAAAATAGCGGCCGTTTCCTACGTCGCGCTAACCGTTAAATAGAGTAAGCGGGTATTAATTATGACGGTTAGCCGTAGGCCGTTTCTAGCTCCCGTCTAAGTATCTGCCTTAGGGCCCTATTAGGGCTCGCCTAAGCATACCGACACACACGTGATAACGCTAATCCCTAGCGTCCGTAGGATAATTAGCTCTCCGGTGTCCTCGAATAACTACGGCCCCCGCGCCTCTTAAGGTTCGTAACAATATATTAATATTATAATATTATATAGTTATATAACTACTTACTAAGCCCTTTTCCTTCTAATAAACTATATTATTATTTATCTACGTGAAACCTATTAGATTAATCTTTAATAATTATATATTAAATTATATACTTATATTAAATTACCTACCTAGGTAGGAGACTATTTAATACTCTACTTTCTTACTATTTTATATAATCTTCTATAATATTTCCTATAATATAAATACTACCTTATTTCCTAGCTAAATTAAATTAAGTTTATTATCCCTTTTAATCTCTCTTCTAGATTAGTAGTACTCTTCTATAATTATAATACTTCTTCTTCTTCTTCTTTCTAAGAAGTACGTACGACTAATAGACTTATAACCGTATATTTAGATACTATATTAAGTATTTACCTACCTTTATATATACTATCTTCTTATATATATAACCACGACTTTATAGTTACCGCCTAAAGTCCGATAATAACTATACTTTATAGTTTAAAGATAGGATAATTAATATATTATATATAGCTAACTAATTACTATAAGTTAGAAGGTCCTTAGGTTATACTTATCTAGTTCTAACTATATATCCTAAGAGTAGCTCGTAACTATACTATTACTATATAAAGCCCTATATCGGGTTTAGGTCCTATTAAGTATCTTATAGAATATACTAGAAGTACACGCTAAGTAAGTTAATTATAAAGTATTACTACTAAGTAAATCCCCTACCTATAGATTAGGTTATCTTAAAGATAAACTATAAAGTAAAGTACCAAAGGTAGTAACTAAGTAATAATATATAATTAATCACGAAGAACTAAATATATAATAGTAAAGGAGTGTCCTTATATATCTAGTCCTTCCTATTAGTGATAAGTTAGGACTTATTACTAATATACTAGGGCTTATCGCTAATAAGTCTCGAGCCTCCTTAGTCCTATCACTAATAGGACCTAGTTACGTACGTTCTACCTTAGGTAGGTTATTATACCGGAACTTATCTAGTATATATATAGATATATAGGATAGATAAAGTCCGTCCTAAGGATATAGTATCCTTTATCACCCTAAGTGATCACTAATCCTAGTTATATAAAATACCCTTTACACTACTCCACTTTGCTCCTAGGAGCACCTTAAGTATGCGAGTTTACTCCTAGGAAGCATACGTGTAATACTTCTCACTAGTTATACGTGACTCCTGTAGGTGTCATCTTTCTTGCGGTTTCGGTTAGCTGATGTTGTCCCTCGCGGGTTTCTGACGGTCTGCCTCGTAACATCCTGCCACCTACCCCCCATTAGAAGATTCGAAAATCGACTATCCCAACCACCACCAAATTCAACCAAATATAGCGATTTTTACATACATTAATCCTGTGACCAATCTCCCTACACCAACTACACCTAGGCGGAGCCCTAGCTACCGGCATAGCTGGCTGACTAGGCAATTCAATTTCTGCATGTGAATCTACCCTATCATCTTCCACTGGGTGGTTCAGCTGCTCAACTAGCTGTAGGGCCTCTTCAGTTGTTAAAATCTCTTCACAGGGTATCTGCCTCGTTGATCGATTGCGCTTCCTGACGATCCTCTCACTCGCTATGCGTAGATCTGTGTTCTCCTGCGTAAGTAATGCAGTGTTATGTTTTTGATAGACTGGGAGGGCTATTTGACCGTTGCTCTAGTGGCTCCTTTAACATAGAAGCTTGTTTGAATAGCCAAGTAACGGTTCTAGGTGTTTTTGGTGTGAATTCGCTAGATCTACTGCTTGGCCGGCTGCCTGGTGGTGACGAAGTTCGTAGAGAGATATTAAGCTTGTTAAGCACTCTCTCAGCATCTAATGGTGCTAGACCACTAGCTGCGAAGCTATTTTTGATAGTAGGATTGGTTGATTGGAACTCTTCTAGCCGCGCGCTCTGGTAATCCACTAAGAAATCGTGCATGTCGGTATAGTTATACCCTCTACGCGTAAGATCGCTATCGAAACGACCGTACGCCCTCTTTAATGGCGTAAAGCAGCTAATATCTAGTGGCTATAGTAGGTGTGACGAAAGCGTAGGTATACAATATGGGATAGTATCGTTATCTACGCAGATTTGGTCGAATAGGAGTGTAAGGTAGCTACCATGGCCATCAAGAATCAGTAGCCAAAACCGCCCACGCACACGCGAATTTATATATGGGATAAAGTGCTTCTATAGCTAACGTAGACCAATCTCATCGGTAGTTCAGCCATTATTTAAGATCTCGATTCGCCGGTCTTTCGGTATATTTTCGCTAAACCATCCTGCAATGACTACTTTGCGTTTGAAGATTATACATAGTGGTAGCGAATAGCCATCTGCGTAGATTGCTTCGATAGCAGTGACCCATTCGCGATTTCCTGGCTATAGAATTAATAACCGTCATGGGACAGCTCAACCTGCCCCTTTTCCTCATTCGTTCGAGTAATTTTCCTTCAATCAATCAACCTTCTCTGTATGATTCCGATATTTCTCATTCGTTCCAATGCATACTAGCCAATACCAATTCAACCAAATTTGACAAATGATCTAGTCTTAGATCGTTAAGGGTCAGGTCAGGTCAGGTCGTACGATTCGGCTCAGAATCGGAATTTAACTTATGATAAAAGAATGCTCCAACTTCATCACAATGATTAAACTTGATTTCAACTAGCTATAGAAAATAGGCAGTATTTATAACTCTATAATATCACAGCAAGGAATCAGAATAGAATCTCATAGAAATCAGGAGAAATATAGAGTGTTGAAGCGCTTTCTTGTATAGGATCAATCGTTGAAGATCATCGTCACCTGTACGTTCCGTTGCATTCTGTCAAGTTCGATAGCTCTCAAGGGCTTATGCACATCCTCATCTTCGTTTTAAATAGTAGCAGCAAATTAAACAACTTCAAACTCAATGGTACCCCATCCTTCGAATGCACAAGACCAGAATCCGGGCTTCTCCATCGGGATGGCTTCTAGGCAACTTCCAGGCATAATAACTTGTCCAGCCTGGAACTCAATATCATACTCAGCGAGTCGGTTGGCTAGCCATGCCACAGCTGAGATTGGGTTACCCAGAATGTTCTTCGTGTTGCCTGTCATCACTTCTTGGCCATTGTACTTGAGAGAGCCGCGGGTGTTGCTGAGAGTGAGATCGGTAAGCTTCCGAGGCGTACCACCAAGGATAATACCGCCGGTAGAGCCGTTATCTGCGAGCGTATCAGGGAGGTCGATTTCCCAGTTCTTGACACGCGAGTCGATAATTTCAATGGCGGGGATAGCGTAGTCGATAGCGTTGATGACATCCGCAACAGTAATATTAGGCCCCTTCAGCGAGCTCTTAAGGACGAACGCAGGCTCCAACTCCACGTATGGCTTAATGAACTTGTTGCGCTCAATTTGTGTGCCTTCATAGATGAAAGAGCTGGCGTGGAGGAATCCGTAGTCTGGGTGATCAAGACCGAACGCGGCTTGCATCACTTTGGCGATGTTGCCAAGTTTATAACCGACGAGACGATCACCATGCTTGACAGCATGCTCTGAGTTGATTCGTTGGACTTGGAAACCGCTCTCAGCATCAAGGCCGGGCCAGGTTTTGGTTGGTGCGTCGATTGGCTTTGCATCCGCCCGTGCCGATCGGAGAGCCCCAGCGACATCGCTCAAGTCGAAGTTGGTCATAATGATAGGTACTTGATAGAAAAGAAGGAAATTAACGATAAAGTAATCTTGAATATAGAGATCCTAGAAGATGGCCTGGGCGCCGCATCGTTTTATACCTATTTGCAACCAACTGGTTCATTTCCGTTCGGATAGTTTGAACCGAATAGCCGCGATCCAACCGACGTTGGGGGTGTATCTGTATAAGCCGAATATTGGATTCATTGATGTGGAGGCTGGCGATAGTGGTGATGGATACGATAATCGGAGGAGAACCCGATCCCGAGGCGAGATCGGCTTTGGGTTTCTGGGGAAATACCCCAAACAACAACCCCACACATGATAGCTGAGACTTCGTGGACCATTGGCATCGGAATCAAACCGTCACCCAGCTGGATCTCCATGGATTCTATTGCCCGAGAAGTGCTCATGTGAGCAACAACCGTGAAATCCGAGAAAAATAGGCTCGGAATCATAGTCCAACAGTTTTTTCGATCACGAGGTCTTCCACTGACCCAAGAAATCCGGTCTTCAAGGCCGAGTGGCGCCAAGTTATATAAAGAGATCGTGAGCGTTTGTTGACTTCCTGCTCACCAAGATCATCATACTATTTGCGAAATCAACTTGACATTTCACAAAACAAAATGGCTCCCTCTGCAACCTTTATCGATGTTGAACCACCCGTTGTCATTGGTCCCTCGACCAAGAAAGCCACTCGGCCTTCCAATGAACTTCCATGGTCTCTTATTGACGGGGCTAAGCTGGCGAAGCGGGAAGAGTTTGACCCTGTCAAGCACTTGAACTTCATTCCTCCAAAGTCTATCCTTACCATGAAGGAGATTGGGCTGGAGGGCCATGGGATCTCGCCACACGCGGCTGCTGGGCCATTCCCTCTGTTCACCCCGGAGGCAATTGCACAGATGCGGGCGGAGATCTTTGATGAAAAGGTTCTGGCAGAGTGCCAGTACTCATCTACATTCAACAAAAACATGGTGCGAGGAATGGGTCCTGCGTAAGTACCACAACAGCTCTCGATCTTGGGACAGAAGTGCATCTACTAACGGTAATAGTCGCGCTCCCTTCACATATGCCGCATGGAAATCTCCCGAGGTCCTTGCCAGGATCTCCGAAGTTGCCGGCATTGATCTCGTTCCTTCTATTGATTTTGAGATCGCGAACATTAACATCTCAATTCGAGACGAGAACTCAAGGGTGGAGCACAATGTGAATCTGATGTCTGATAAGGAGGAGCTCCCTGCTGTTGCTTGGCACTACGATAGCTTCCCCTTCGTTTGTGTCACAATGCTCTCAGACTGCACCGGCATGTTTGGCGGAGAGACGGCCCTCAGAATGCCAAGCGGAGATATCATTAAAGTCCGCGGTCCTGCCATGGTGAGTTATACCCTAAAAATCATTCAAAAAGCTCTATACTAACAGCTGCCTCCTTCCTTATAGGGTACTGCCGTTGTTATGCAAGGACGTTACATTGAGCACCAGGCTCTTAAGGCTATGGGCGGTCGCGAGCGGATCAGTATGGTCACTTGCTTCAGGCCCAAGTCGCCCTTAGTCAAGGACGAGACCGTTCTTGTGGGTGTTCGCGGTATCAGCAATATCTCTGAGTTGTATACGCAATACACCGAGTATCGCCTGGAGATTTTGGAGGAGCGCGTTCGCCACCAGCTCAAGCAAGAGCGCGAGCGCGAAACCGCCAAGAAGCCCTTCAATGTGCCTGAAATGAAGCGCTTCTTGACCAACCAGAAGCTGTTCATTGAATCCATGTTGACGGAAATTCAGGAGCTTGACTAGACTTATATAATATTGCATTTCATACGACGAACGACTTACCAGATGACAGTTAAGTCGAGCTAAGCGGTGAACTGGTACATAGAACAATGAATTGATTTACGGAAACCCTTTGATTGACTCTGGATACAATAGCATCTTTTACCTTCTACGTGGGCTCATTCGATAGCACAAAAGAAAAAATTCCGCATGGATTTCCGTGGTTGTAGAAGACTGTACATTCTCGATCTAGACGGGCCAGTCAAGCCTCTACTGAACTTTCTTCACAGCAGCCAGCGAGTTTCCATCCAGCCTTGTCAGCCAAGTACTTAGGAAACATCATACTTCATTGGGCGCAGCCCTCAGTATCACTGAAGGCATACCCACATTCAACAAATGGTTCTTAGGTTCGGGCGTAATCCGAACCTTTCTGAACTCTGAACCAGTGAATGAAATTGCCGACACTGTGGGGAAGGGCTGGCGAGAAAGGCAATTGATCTCCCTCGGGGAGAAGCCGACCAGAGGAACCGAACATTCGGCCCCGCACTTCACGCTCGGCTGGACCCCGCGGCCGGTTAAGAGAATGCCCCAGCTTGGATCGTAGAGGCCCCGGAGGCCAAGAATTCCTTGAGCGAAGAATTAGATTCGTCGTCATTGGTTGCCTTTTCGCGGCCCCTTTATAAAGGGATGAAGCATTTGTGACTCTTGGCTATTATCCACCCAGGTGGCTTGCCATCTTCAACCTCCATCATGGCTTACTGCAAGAAAGACCTCGTAGAGGCGCCTGTGCATGCTGAGCAGATGACTGTCGGAGACCAGCAGGCTCACGACGATGTGTTTGGCGAGATCTCCGACGATGGTCCTAATTTTCGCAATGTGAATTGGCCATGGCTTGTTGTCTTCAACCATGATGGCTAATTCGCTTCTAGGTCGGCTTCGTGGGAACGATCATTCTCATGGTGAAAACTCAAATCGGTCTGGGAGTCCTCGCTATTCCTTCTGCTCTCGACGTCCTGGGCATGGTCCCTGGTATCGTCTGTCTGTTTGTAATGGCCTTCATCACTACATGGTCTGGGTATATCATTGGAAAATTCAAGTTGAACCATCGGGAGGTTTACAGTATCGACGACGCTGGTGGAATCATGTTTGGATTACCTGGCCGAGTCTATGTTGCCACTGGGTTCTGTCTTTGTACGTTTGGGTCCAACTTCTTGATCTCTCGAGAATTAGAGAGCTGATGCCCCTTTTATTACAGATTATATTTTCAACAGTGGGTCGGCCATCCTGAGTCTATCCATCGGCATGAACGCGGTGTCTAGTCATGCAACCTGTACCGCTGTTTTTGCAGCTGTCGCAGCGATTTTTGGGTTTGCCTTCAGTAGCATTCGGACATTGGCTCGGATTACATGGCTTGCATGGATTGCTTTGCCATGTATTCTCACTGCAGGTAAGGTCTGGGTAGTAGTCCTGTATGAAAGTGATACTAACTCAATTTAGTGATTATTGTCACAATTGCGGTTGGACTGCAAGGCCGTCCTAAAGCAGCGCCGGTAACAAGTGGCCCCTGGGAGTCTGATTGGAAGGTTGTTGGAAATCCTACTTTCGCCGAAGGAATTGCCGCGGTCTCCAACCTTTTATTCGCCTTTTCGGGCACACCTGGTGCGCTCCAATTTCTAACATGAATAGCGACAATATTTCCTCTACAATATGCTAATCCTGCGTTTAGGGTTCTTTTCGATCGTTTCTGAGATGGAGAATCCCCAGCAATATCCAGTAGCAATGGCTACCTGCCAGGCCATTGTCACTGCTGTATATGCTATCATCGGTGGCGTCATCTACTACTACTGTGGTAGTTACATTTCTTCGCCGGCTCTCGGATCTGCTGGTGGTGTTATCAAGATTATCAGTTACGGATTTGCACTGCCCGGGCTTCTCGGGACCATGACAATTGTCACGCATGTGAGCCACCCAGCCCCTCAACCCCGAATGGAGGCAAATATGGAAACCATTGCTAATTTCACGGCCCCTTCAGATCCCCGCAAAGTTCATTTTCGTCCACCTTTTGCGCGGTTCTCGACATTTAAGCAGCAACAGTCCAACACACTGGATGGTTTGGTTTGGATGCACCTTTGGCGTGACAGTGATTGCCTGGATCATCGCCAGCACCATTCCGGTCTTCGACGCTCTGGTATCGCTGATTGGTGCGCTGCTCGGTCCCGTCATGTGTATCCAACCGATGGGGGCTATGTGGCTGTACGATAACTGGGGGAATGGCAAGGGCCAGAAGAAAACCAAAAGTTGGATTGTTGGCACAGTCTGGAGTGTCAGCCTGATAGTACTGGGAATTTCCTCATGGGAGCTGGGACATATGGCTCGGTTTTGAGTATCATGAGTGCCTATAAGGAAAGTGGAGGCTCCGCAGCGTTTTCGTGCGCCGATAACTCCAATTCTACGTGATCAAACCGGCTATGGTGGACAGACTCCGAGGTGATAAAGATATAGATATAGAAAAAAATGGATTAGAAAAAAAATAGAGAAACAAAAACCCCACAAAAAAAGGAGGCGTGAGAAGTTCGTGACGGACTTGACGTCTTGACGTACGCATACGCACCAAGAATTACCGCCTGGATGCTGGGTGTCACGACAAGTATTGTCAACAGTAACCCAAGTCAAGCGTTGGTGAACGAGTTATTTGTATAGAAATCGTATGACCGACCGAACATGAGCTAATCGATTCCGGATATCAGACGTATATGAAAAATTCGTCTATAGTTGGCGCACCAGCGTGCGGAAAGTGTCCGTAAGGGAATTGTTGGGGGTGGACGACGATGTTCGGCGTATTCCCATTAAAAAAGACCACTAGAAGACTGACTGAGGAGAAAAAATCCGTTGGCTTTGGTAAAAGTTTGTACTCGCGGGGCTGGCCCTGTGACCCAAGCTACTCCCGAAGCCGCTCGGAGGAGAAGCCGATCGGAAAGCTTGGGAAAGCTGCGGCTGTACTCCGTCTTGGGAAAGAAACAAGTTGACAGTTTACCCGGGGTCCCCATAACCCAGGCAGGATCCGGGACATCGGGGTACCCCAGGTTCTTCCTCCACCGCAAGCTCGAAAGGAAAACCGTTGAAGTGCTTTCTTGGGAGTGACTCCCTGCTCTTCACCACACCATCCAGACATACCGAGTCTATCATGCTCGACGTCATTGTTATTGGGGCCGGCTTCAGCGGCCTTGAAGCTGCTAAGACTGCTAAGCAGGCGGGCTTGTCGGTTGCTATTGTGGAGGCACGCGATCGCGTTGGCGGAAAGATTTGGAGCGTGCCCCTGGCTTCTGGGCGCGGTTTTGCCGAGCTCGGGGGTGCATGGATCAACGACAGTCTCCAGCCGCGAGTCTGGGCATATGTGAAACAATTCGACTTGAAGATTGTAAAGCAGCGTCTTGAAGGCATGGCGATTATGCAAGAAAGTGAGAATGAACGGTTTGAGTTTCCATTTGGCAGGACCCCGGAAGTGAGTTCTCATCCAGAACTCCCAGACTCTGACTGGAAGTGTAGATTTCACGAAATTCTGACATCGAGTGCTCAATTAGTTCACACCAGCCGAGAAGAAGAATCTCGAATTCATTCGCGATCATTTCCAGGCCGAGTCCCTGAAACCGGGACTGCCCTCGGCAGAGGTTGATAATGTGACGCTGGATGAATACGTTTGTTCACTGGGTGCCTTGCCCAAGATCGCAAGAATGGTGAATCTCTGGTCCCAAGTTATGCACGGCTTAGAGTCTACCGAAGAATCTGCCGCCTGGTTTATCGACTACTGCCGTCGAAACGAAAGCTTCCTTGCCATTCGGGCAGACGATTCGACCGGCGGTCAGTACTTGCGATTCCAAGACGGTGGGTCAATCTCTCCTCGGAGTGTTAAAATTAGAGCTGACCGTTCCCCAAAGGCGCACAGTCAATCGCCCAAGGGATCGCCGAGATAGTGGGAAAGGAAAATATTCACCTTGCATCCCCAGTTGATGCGATTATTGATCATGGAACGCATGTCACCGTCATCACACGAAATAAAAAGGTCTTCCAAGGGAAAAGATGCATCATGTCCGTTCCAAGCACGATGTATAAAGAGTTCAGTTTCACGCCTCCCTTGCCATCGGCCGTCCGGGAAGTTACCAACGGTACGGTTCTTGGAGACTACAACAAGGCTATTGTCTGCTACGATAAGCCCTGGTGGCGCAGCGAAGGATTTAATGGCTATTTTGCGAGTTATTCGGGACCCATCACTCTTTGCCGTGATACCAGCGTTGTTGAAAAGAGTCACTATTCCTTAACCTGCTTTGTCAATGGCCTGCCTGGCCGGAAGTGGTCGAAATTGCCCACGCATGAACGGCGAGCGGCCGGCCTGAAGCAGCTCGCCAAGGCGTTTAATAACCATCCCGATGTGTTCCACCCGATCGAAGTGTTCGACCAAATCTGGCAACACGAGGAGTTCAGCCGAGGAGCTTTGGCACCAGTTCATGCAATCGGCCACTTGACGAAATATTCCTCGGTGTATGGAAAGCCCGTTGGCAATATTCAGTTTGTGGGGACTGAGTACAGTTCAGAGTGGAAAGGATATATGGAGGGGGCATTATGGTCAGGAGAACAAGGCGCAAAGCAAGTCGTGGAGATGCTGCAGAAACCGTCTGCGAAAATCTGACGGATCGCGCTGTGAACATCACAAACTCACATTCTACATATTCTTCATATGCATAGAAAACAAAAAAGGTTTCTGAAAACTCAGTATCATTATAAGCTCCCCAAAATCCCAATTCGCTCGGTGTATCATGATGCTCTAGAATCTAAAATACTGCGCTCTGTTCCCCCGATCTGGTCTATAATCGAAAGAAATTCGTACGAGGATATGCCAATGTCATCCAGAAGTTCGACGCCACCCGCCAGATTTGGCATGGAGGGTGATGTATCCAAACAATTGGGTATTCCCCCTAAGTCAAATTGGCGGTGTCCTTCGGTGTGGAGGACTTGCATATGAGACGGTTGGCCTTCTACATTGCTATGGAGCTGCTCAGGCGTCGCAAGACTCAGAGTTTGTAGGCCATACTGCTCAACGCGAACTGTCAACTCGGCGAATAGACCTTCAAGATGTGCAAGCTCTGTCTTGCGCGCGGTTGCAAGTCTGTTTCCCTTGAAGATCATCTCGTCTAAAACGTTGTGAGCCTCCTCGATAAAGTTATCCTTGTCCGTTGCTTTGGGGAACAGAGAATTAGCTATCAAGAGATGAATCGCAGCCCCGTATGTAACTTCCATTTCAAATGGGAGAAAAACCTCTGATAAGCCAAAAAAACGCCTGATTAGCACCGACTTGTAATCTTCGTGATGGGAATGACATACCAAGCTGGCTATTCTCGTCGGCAAGTATTTGTAGTGTTTTAAGGGCCGACTTGATGCCTGTCGAAATTAAGGCTTTTGTTGGGGCGAGGAAACTTTGCCAGTCATCCTCTCTGCCGCCCAATCGGTCCAGGCGCTCCTTGAGTACAGAGAGAAGTAGCGGCCGGGTGGCTACTAACACGCACTTTTCATCGGCTATTAGCTATAAGAGTTGCAAGTAGACATGATCGAATTACCTGATGGTAGAGAAGTGTGATGTAACGCGTCCCCCTTGGCATCGTCTCCACCGAGTTTGAAGCTTGCGGAGAGACAATATCTTCAATTTCTCGCGCGTAGACGGTCATGGTTTGCAAGATGGATCTTGTCTTCTCAAGAAACGTAGACAAGTCCGTTCTAGTATCTTTGTAAATTGCTTTTTCGAAACCCCGTCAGAATACCCATCAAGTGAAAGAGAGAAACGGCGGCTTACACGTTAAAATTGTCGAAAATAGATAGGAAAGCTTCACATGTAGACTGAGAGTCGTGTCATGCCGCGATCCCGGTATACCCGGCTTTAATGCCGTCGTGATGTCGCTATCCTGCGTCATGAATGGTAGCCCAAGTGATGAGGAGATATGGCGATCCATAACGTAAAGTGTCCACCAAAGGTTGCGGCAACGTGCCACAGTCTGGATTCCCAGTTCATCCTCTGGGAGCTCCGTATGAAGTCCGTCTAGTTGTGCGATCCTGATCGCTTGGCCGACCTTTGAAGATTGGACATATTAGAGTTGAACCGAGAGAGCGGTATAGAACGGAGATTGCTCACATATACATGGGCTGCCTCACGATGATCAATAGAGTAAAGATATAACGCGGCAAGTGCGAGAACCTCAACAGCTAAGATCCCATCTTTCCAAATGGTTGTATGATCGGGTAAAAGGGACATGGCGCGCACGAAGAACCTGGAGCCTGGCGGGTCTCTAGCGCTTCTTGTGCGAAGGAGAAATGCATTCCCAAATGCAAGAACAAGAAGAAACTGCACGAACCAGAGTCCGTTTTCTGTGGCTTTCTGGAGCGAATTGGTGGAATAGAATTCATGCAGATGCTGTGTGAAGCAGTCTTCGTTGAAGAATCGATAATGTTGATCGAGGTGATGTTTGACCGTTTCGAAGAGATAGAGAGCATCGTCCAATGAAGGCAGTCCACCTATGTCCGGAGGGTCTTCCACAGAGGCCGGTCTCCAATGTAGTGGGTATACCTCCTTGTCCAGAGAACTTGGAACCGTGTGAGGTTTCTCCAGGTGCAGTTTATCTGCCATCATCAGAGACAATCGAGTGGTCAATGACCATAATGATGTCGGGGCTAACCAGGCTAGGAGCGTTTGTCAGCAACAGGAAGAGAGTTCGTCAATCGGGCAAACTTACTCCAGCCATTTTTGCCTTTATAGAGGCCATTGACTGTCTTGGATGGTAACGTGAACGGGTTGGCCCAAACGCTACGCTCGTGATCAATGGGTTTGTAAGGAGGTAGACCATCTTGGGAGGGCACAGTACTTGCTGTAATCAATCAGCGGGTCGTCTGACTTCACCGTGCAGGTCGGATGAATTACCAGGGCATCTCACGCTTCCTTCTCCGGTCGGACTGAAAGCTACACCCGCTGTTCTTTTTGTTCCCGTAGTAGGTTCAAACTGTGGCTGCGGTGAACCCTGCCGATGACTCTTGGCTTCTTCTAACAACCTCTGAAGATACCTGGTGAATTTTAGAGACAGATTCCGTGTCGCATCCTGTGGCGATAGATCCAAGTTCCGAACCTTTCATCGACCATGATCTTATTGGCATCCGCGAACTGACATTCGATGCCTCGTCGTTGACAATTTGCGCATGGCTCTACGCCGGAGCACTTGATCTTACTTTGTCGACATGATATGCATCTGCACCAAGGGTTAATGAAATCTGACCGTATGCTGCGTGGTGAGGGAAGCCTCTCACGCGTTCGAAGTTCTCTTCGGTTTATACTGTTCACGCTTTTCTTGGTCTGCCATGTCGCCAAATGAGCCTGAAAGGGACCAGCTAAGCCTCCTGTGATAGACGCGGAAGATGAAACGCTGAAGTTGCCCAACGGGCCGGGGTGAAATTATTTGGAAGTTGTGTGCGGCAACCCAAGTGGCTGGTGTCTTTATGGGAGTCCCCCGTGGGCCCTCCCTGACCCCGCACAATTCCACAAAAGGCTAATATTGACCCCAAACATGGTTGACCGTGGCGAATCTGAGTTTAATTGCTCGCTGTTGCTGGGGCAAAGGTCATGTGTTCACTATTTTTTACTAGACGGCGCTGATGGCTGGTCGCTGGTCGCTTTCAGACGTCGCTCTGGGTTTACCTCTGTCCTTGAGGTTATCTGCGGGCGCTTAATTTGTTGTACTTGAGAATTGGCCGGAAAATCGGGGGCGAAAGGACCTCCTAAAGCTTGGTATTAAATACTTGGCTTAAATTGCGAGACGGATCTCTGCCTTCCAATATCTCACTTCCCAGGCGGAATGCCTCAGATACCCAGGGACCCACCCTTCTTCTTGGTGGTGAAATGACAAGAAGGGTAGAGGTTCTCACGTCACGATGAGTTCGATTAATTGAATCACGTTGGAGAGAAGCAGTTGTCGACGTGTCCGTGTCGAACAGTCTCCCCTGGCATGCGTGGGGCCCCCACCGGTTCTCGGAGGAGGTCCGAGATCGTCGCCTCCATCGGCTTCGGTCCAGGACCGAAACTCGGAAAATGAAACTTTTTGCCTGGTCTTTAACGTCGCAATGTGTATTTTGGATTATATACTATGGTCGCCTAAAAACAACGTAGCTTCATTAAGTGTGGTCCTGATTCCTCCACTTGGGTTCACGAATTCCTTCTATAAATAGTTCAGCAAGTCTAAATGTTTCGTATCATCAACCCGTGTATATCCTGCTTTCCTGATCTAGCCGGCCAGGTTCATTCACAAGTTCGCATAAGAAGTATTAACACCACCAGTCACGATCATCTTGATGTTCACATAGTCATCAATGCCGTACTTGCTTCCCTCGCGCCCCATGCCAGAGTGCTTAACGCCGCCAAATCTGCAATGTGTTAGTACATTTCCTGATCAAAATGGCTACCTAGTGGGTGAACTTACGGTGCCGCAAAGTCAGAGATAACACCGGTGTTGATACCCACCATGCCGAACTCCAGGCGCTCAGACACACGGTGGGCCTTTCCAAGATCACTGGTCATGAGGTAAGAGGCCAGGCCGACGTCGCAGCTATTAGCACGGCGAACCACCTCATCCTCCGTGCGGAACTTGGAAATAGCAGCGACAGGGCCGAAGGTCTCCTCGCTGTTACTCTTGATGGTATCGTCGGCATTGCCCAGGATAGTGAGCTCATGGAAGTTCTTGCCAATGGATGGAAGAGCGTTGCCGCCGAGCAAAACAGTAGCGCCCTTGGTTAAAGCGTCCTGGATGTGCTCCTGGGTCTTCGCAATGCCATTGGTCAAAGGACCATGTGACACGGAATGATTCTGACCGTCTCCAACCTGTGATTTCTTCATCTCCTCCACGAACCGCTGAGTGAACTTCTCGTATATTCCTTCCTGGATATAGAATCGGTTCGCGCAAACGCAGGTCTGGCCGGTCACCTTGAACTTGCTAACAACAGCAGCTGTGACAGCAGTCTCGAGATCGGCATCGTCGAAGACAATGAAGGGGGCATTTCCACCGAGTTCCAGGCTAAGCTTTTTGAGTGTGCTACTGGATTGCTGCATAAGGAGCTTACCGACGCGGGTTGACCCAGTGAACGAAATCTTCTTCACAATATCGGACTCACAAAGAGTTAGTCCGAGGGATGGGGTATTCTCCAAAGCGGTCACAACGTTAAACACACCCTTCGGCACACCGGCGCGCTCGGCCAGGGCAGCCAGAGCGTTCGATGCAAATGGAGTGAGACCGTCCGACTTCATGATAACGGTACAACCAGCCGCGAGGGCTGCGGCCACCTTGCGTGCTCCCATGGCCATAGGGAAGTTCCACGGGGTAATCAAACCGCATACACCGATAGGCTCCTTAATGACCTGTGTACGGCTGGAAGGGTTGCTGTGCGGGATAATATCGCCGTAGATACGGGGCGCCTCCTCGGAAAACCACTCGAAGAATCCAGCAGAGAAGAGGGCTTCTCCCTCGGCGTCACCCTTAGCCTTACCGTTCTCAGCCGTGATGATCTTTCCGATGTCTTCCTTGTTTTCAACAATGAGTTCAAAGAGGCGACGCAAGATTCGTCCTCGTTGACGGCCAGATTGGGCCCTCCATGTTGGGAATGCTTTGGATGCAGCCTCGATGGCAGCGTTGATGTCCCCTGTGGTGGATTCTGGGCATGAGCCGATATAAGCCTCAGTTGCAGGGTTGTAAACGTTGAAGGTCTGTCCTGATTGAGAGGCAACAACCTTGCCATCAATGTAGGAGCCTTCAATAAAGAGGCTGGGGTCCTTGAGGCTGGCGGAGAAGGATGGTGCCATTGTGAACGATGGTGCGAAGGGAAATAAAACTGGGAAAGAGAGAATACGTCGGGCAGTTTGATAAAAGTTGTCCTTGGTTGAATTTGAAAACCCCCCCGCGATCCAGCTCTTTAAATCACTTCAATCGAACCAGGCTGCGGGCAGTCTCTCACCCGCCACATCTTGGGGCCATCGGATGAGAACCCGACACCCGAGAAAGCCAACTTCTCCAATTAGGTGGGGCACTTTGATGGCTTCGTACTGGTCCAGTTAATGATCTTTCTTTTGTTATTTTCCCCTCGTTTTGTAATGTAAATTATCCCATTGTACGAATTTAAAGTTATCCGACAGAAGTTAGATCAAGAACTCGGGGATCCTTGATGGCCCTTCTCAGCTACACTTATCTAAAAGGCGCAAGTCCCAGCTACATGATTTCTTGGCCTATGCAGAAATTCAAAGCATGCCGTTGATTCGCGCTTGTCTCTCGACTCAATGTATATATAATACGCTTTAAGGGTCCCCAATACCGAACAAAAAATAGAAGAAAAGCGGACATGAAGTGCAAGATACTGTCTTGATCTTGAATCAAAAAGTTCGGTGACATACCACAATATTTGCTGGCGTGGAATAGGAACTGCTTCCTTCGGTAGACAGAACATCACCGCGAGTGTGACCAACAGCTCCACGACCATGTATATCGCGTCTCTTGTCGTTGAAAACCAATCACCCATTTTCAACATGGTGATCGATCTCAGTCCAAAGGTTCAAGAGGGCCATGTGGCTGATCCCAGCTCATCACTTTGGTCATCGTTTTTCAATAGACTTACGAACTTACGAAAACACATATAGTTGTACAACGCTTTTTATGCGTCAATCATACCTGGCAACATGAGACATATATTATTTGTGGATTGACAAGGTTGTGCCGCTCCTGAAGGCGATAATACAGCAGGGGAGGATCAATTCTTCGGTGTCTTTTCGCCCGTATTTTTCTGCCTTGGGATCTGTGTATTGTCGATCGCTGGAGGTGTCATGGCCCCCAGGCTGGATGTGGAGTAGGCAGAAGGGGATGACAAGCACAATTGAGTTCGCAGCGAGGCTATGGCTCGGCTGGTCAACGTTGGAGGGTAGATTGGACTCGGAAACTGTGAAGGTACTCTATATGATTCAACTGCTGGCGTAATTCTCAATACAAGTCTATATACTTTTCATAACAATATACCAAGCCTCCCCGTCATTTCTCTTGACAGCATCATTCATCATTTCATTCATGAACGGACTTCGATCTCTCACCTTCTTCCCCCAGAAAAACATCAGAGTAGGGATAAGGGAAAGAACCAAAGCAATCAAGGCCAACACAGTACTTGCCCATTTCGGTCCAAGGTGGCCATACATGCTCATAGTTGCCAAAGGCAAGAAAGCAGAGAAAATATTCTCTCCTGTCGCGACTGCTCCCATCGCACTTCCAGCGTAATTGCTATATGCATCCACAACGTAATCGGATACTCCAGACACCACAAGGACACTACCAGCACCGACCAGTCCCAATCCGGCAGATGGCGCAATCCAGGGAATATGCTCGTATGAAGTCCACGCGTAGGTGAACATTCCCCCAGATATACCCAGAACGCCGCCGAGAACTGCCATATAGAGCCTTGACTCTGGAATCGGAGCGCCAGGGACTTCTTTGTTCCGTGAAGCCGACTGGAAGTAGAGCGTGCGGGAGATGAAGTTGAGGACCCATCCGATTAATTCTCCAATAACGATTGCGGCCTGGACAAAACCGGTTTGCGTGGCGTTCCAACCGTATAAGTCCATGAAAACTTGCTCGACCGACTGAGTGAACAGAAAGAGGGTTCCAACAGTAAACGCGGACCAGATAGTTGACACGAATAGAACGGGCTCGGTGAATACTAAGACAACCGGTCTTTTGGCGCTAGGTATGATAGTCTCTGTGATAAGAGACGAAAGAGAAATCTTCTCGTTGATATCGGTATAATTCTGAGCTTTGCGAGTGATCTTTGCTCGGCGTGCGAGAACCGCTGTTCCCCGCGACTCGTAGAAAAAGAAGTAGTAGATCGGAAATAATACCGCGAACCAAATTATTTGTATATAACTTATCCATCTCCATCCAAGAGCTTGGTAGATAGCAGCACCTATCACAGGGCCTATACTACTTCCAGTCATATATCCAATGATGTATAAGCTGACAGGTACTGATCTATCCCATTCAGTATTCCATAGGTTACCCATCACGCCCGCAGCTGTGTTTGCCAATATAGCAACACAGCCACCGGAGAAAAACCGGGTTACCACCAATGTGGCAAAATTCTGAGCGACAGCTTGGGGAATGAGGGAGCAGATGAGGATGAGATACGTGGAGAGAAACACGGGTCGGGTTCCAAAATCTTCCGCGAGTGGGAGAATGAACAGGGCGGCGCACGCACCACCAACAGCCCAGGTTGTCACGAGCCAGTAAGAGTGTAGGAATGTGGTCTCGTCGATGTTGAACGCTTCAGATATTTCAAAGTGTGCCACGGTTATGATGGTACCGTTCATCATTGTGAGATATGTCGTGAAGGCGGCAAGGCATGTAAGAGCCCATTTTTTGATGAGCGTCCAATTATAGGGATTTTCAGGGTCGCGTTCATCTTTCCAGGCCAGAGTCTCCGAGGAGCTATTGCTGAGGCATTCGTGGCCAAGATCGATTCGCTCTCTGCTCCGGAGCGCTTCCTCCCTGTAGGGTTTCATTTCGAAGCCAAATAAGATTCCAGGCCAAGGTTTTAGTTGACTAGAGTTATGGGCCAAGAGGTGTTTGTTTGAACGAGCCAGGAAGATGGGAATATAAGTTTCTTCCTTTAAATAGTATAAAATGCACAATAACGAAAAGAAAAGAGCCCCGGAGTGACGGCTCCACGTCTCCCCCTGTTGCCTTCTTTGGGACAGGCAGGGACATTGGCATGCGCCAATAGATCTGCATCTCCTCGGCAAGTACTTGAAATTTGGTACTTTAATTTGCTAGAAAACTTTTTTGCACATCCAGATCCTAGTAGCAAGCTATTGACCACCCAAACTGACCTCGGCCACGACGTACGTATTCCTGACTGCGATTTTGGCGGCATTCCAGTATTTGAGGATCCAGACAGAAAAGTGTCATTTGTCAATCATGCTACTGCACGCCTTGTTCCCCTCTAGAGCTGTAGTATGAAGTCATATTTCATGACCGAAGCACGACGTTACAAATCTGGCTCCAAGACAAAACCCTTGTCCGTGGAGCCCCCAAAGCCGAGGAATCCGAGAGTCCCGGGAGCTGCTGGGGACAGAGAGACCAGTGTGGACCCCTCGGGTGAGAAGCCGATGCCAAGCAAGGCGGGCAATGCCCGAGCCGAATTGATGTTCGGGCCCCCAATAATCATGATCCGTTGTGGAGTGAAATCAGAAGATGTGCAAAGTAATCTGGGGTATGGGGATGAGTTTGAGGGCACTATACAACGGGAACCTATCCGGTCGTTTTGGACAATCCGCTCTTTTCATCTGCTAGTGCAACAATCCATCTCACCTGCCGCAATATTCTGGGAGTGCCCCAAGTTCATAAAATTACTTTCTTCAAATCTACAAACCACAATTATGCCGGCTTCCCAGATTGTGGTCTCCGCCGCCATAACATTGGCGGTAGCCATTCCTTTCGTGCCACCTGCTCTGGCCAGTGCTAAAGCACGATCAGTATCACGCGGCTCTACAACCTCGGTATCGTAAGTACGCAAAGGAGAGTGATAATTTCTAAGCTTTAATATCTAACAATGACTTGTAGCTTGTACCCTGCCTTGTGCTTTCATACAAGATGAAGAGCATATTGAAGAATACTGCAATTGTAATTTCAGCGAAACGATTCCACGATGTGCTTTTTCCTAGCGGGTTTTTATTCTACATTCTCATATTTACATGGATATACTCCTTTGTTTATGTATTTAAATCTATCTTCCCTTTTTATGACAACATGCTGCATGAGTTCATTTAAGTAGCTAGCACATCATTATAGTTCCATACATGAGAAATCTAAAATCCAGCTTCCGGGCTTTTCCCATGTTTATCCGTCCCCTCCGAAAGGGGTTGATGCTCCCTCTCCGCCTCATACATGATATTACCTCTCACGAAGGGATTGGGAATTCTTCCGAATGTCTATCGTCCTGGAGGTAACAGTAAGAATTCTCTAGTATTCTAGAGTTCCAGTAGAAGTTGCATAAATTGGGGAACCGCAATTTGAGCATAAGTGGCAATGAGCGGTATCTCTTGACCCGGCTGGCTTATCGTCGTAGAATCTGACAAGGTTTTTTGCCGGTAATGATTTTGAGTTTCTGCCAAGTATTATTTATTATTTGTACTCACCGAGTATGAAGAGCCGGTTGGATGCTTGGATGGAAGCCGAAATCGCCTCTATCTAGTAATCTTCGCCATGTAGACGCGCTGAGATTGAGATTGAGGCACTTACTGAGTACTGGAGTCATGGGTTTTGGGCCGAGATCGACCCCTACCCTTTCGCCCCAACAAAGTCTATTCTGTTTGCCGATCGGGATAAAGCCGGGGGTACGCCATCATCTCGGAACCCTTGTGAGATTTGTGGGGTCCCCAGAAATTCGAAAATTTCCCCAGAATAATTGTATTCCCTCCCATTGGTCAGCATCAATTAGGCCTCTGGTATAAGAGTACCACGCCTGCCAGGGGCATAGGCGGATACACTGTTAACAACTAACGATATGGAAACTCTCAAAATGTCTGGCCCTATCGACTTAGAAAAGGACGATGTGAATGCAGCAGAGTCTGTGCAGCTTGAAACTGTCGTCGTCGACGATGTGTTTGGAGAAATGACGGACGAAGGTCCAAACTTTCGCAATGTAAGTACATAGAGCTCATCGAAAATCTGTTTGAGACATTGAAGAATAACTTTATATTAGGTTGGATTCCTAGGAACTGTGATTCTCATGATGAAGACTCAAATTGGTCTGGGTGTTCTTGCTATCCCCTCAGCTCTAGATGTTCTCGGCATGGTCCCAGGTATCATATGCATGCTCGTTATTGCTTGTATGACCACGTGGTCTGGTTACATGGTCGGCGAGTTCAAGATTCGCCATCGAGAAGTTTACAGCATTGATGATGCTGGTGGGATCATTTTTGGTTCGCCTGGTCGTGCGATTCTTTCAACCGCATTCTGTCTGTGTATGTTTCAGGGAAACTTTTCATGGACGGATAAACTTAAATGTACTGACATACATACGATTATATAGATTATGTTTTCAACAGTGGCTCAGCGATACTGGGACTCTCCATAGGGATGAATGCTGTCTCAACGCACGCGACATGCACCGCCGCTTATGTCGCCGTTGCGGCCATCTTGGGATTTGCATTTAGTAGTATTAGAACTCTGGGACGTATTACGTGGCTTGCATGGATTGGACTACCATGTATTCTTACTGCGAGTAAGTTGTGTGGAAATCTTTCTAACTTATCATATACTGACCTGCTCCAGTTATTGTTGTTACCATCGCAGTAGGTGTCCAAGATCGCCCTGCATCTGCGCCAAAAACGAATGATCCTTGGGTCTCGGATTGGGCTACATATGGAACTACCGGGTTCGCAAAGGCTATCGCAGCAGTTTCTAATCTCTTGTTTGCTTTCTCTGGAACACCAGGTAGGTTTCATTCCTGCCTTTTGTCTTTCTATTGGCCGCCCATTTCTTCCACTTGCAGAGGCTTCGGAAACAATGCCAAGTATTCATGGTCAGAATCTGAGACAAAAATTGACTTTCTTTCTAGGCTTTTTTTCTATTGTCTCGGAGATGCGTGACCCTGCCGCATACGGTAAAGCCGTCATAGCGTGTCAAGCAGGTGTGACAGTCGTATATACCGTTATAGGCTGCATCATATACTATTACTGTGGTACCCACGTATCTTCACCAGCCCTTGGTTCAGCTGGAGGTGCGATCAAGATCATCAGCTATGCCTTTGCTTTGCCTGGGCTACTTGTTACCATGACAATTGTGACACATGTAAGATATGGATCGAACAGAGGAATGTTATGAGCTAATTTCAATCAACCACAGATTCCAGCCAAGTTCATCTTGGTTCATGTCCTTCGCGGTTCTCGACACCTCGTCAACAACACCCCGACGCACTGGATCACTTGGCTTAGCTGTACTCTCGGAATTACTGTGATAGCTTGGATTATTGCTAGCACAATTCCCGTTTTCGACGATCTGGTCTCTCTTATCGGCGCCCTTCTCGGCCCACTGATGTGTCTTCAACCGATGGGGGCGATGTGGCTGTACGACAACTGGGGCGACGAGAAAACTCGCACTGCGGGCATTAAGTGGAGATTCATGGTCTTCTGGAGCATTACTATTATCCTTCTGGGGACTTTTTTGATGGTTGCTGGTACTTATGGTTCGGTGATGAACATTATCGAATCGTACAACAAAAGTGGAGGCTCGGCTGCCTTCTCTTGCGCTGATAACTCAAATTCTGTTTAGCCCGAAAGTAAGTTGAAGATACCGCAGACACTCCCCTGGATGACAGAATGGGCCTTCTTCGGTAATATTGGTGGAATGGAAAATTGACTTCGTGCTTTATGCGAAACCTATGAACTATCTTGGTGGCTTTGAAGAGTTTTTGAGGAGGCTGGCGGCACAGTACTTGAAATTTAGACATGGTATATTTATATAGATATGACTAGATTAGAACTACCAATGAATCATAGTCAGCGTTCCAATGGGAGACTGGAAAATTCTAGGAATTAGGGCGCCAATTAATGAAAGCTTCAAGGCCAAAGCTTCGAAAGTGCCTACATTGCTGGATCTGTCTCATCTTCGTGCTGGTATAATTACATGACTAATTGCAAGATCCTGGTTTACCTGCGAGTCTTCCAAGTGGAAATTAGCCATTACAAGGCATATCACTTCGATTACTTTTCTAGATGTACCCACAAAAACTTCGTGTCGACAAATTGCGCAAGGCTACTTGCGGGTATCCAATTCATCAGGTGGCCAGGCGGGTGCTTCATATGGGATAAAGTGTCGTTATCAAGACACTTGCGGAGGGCGGTGTGATTTGGCTGTAGGAAGATTTGAAATGACTGGCAAATGCATGTTAGTGATGACATGCTCCAGTGGTATGATGTAGTACATTACCGAGTTTAATGTATACTGAAAAACATACCGCAGACATGCCTAGAAGCTTTAATCTTTTGTTCGGGGCAACCTCGGTTGAAGCCCGAGTGAAGTTGGGTGGCTACTGCTCCAAGCGTTTACCAAACCTTCTAGCCGTGGCAATTTCGGCTTATTTCCCGATATCGCCAGGGTTCGGCTGGTCTTGACATCACAAAATCTTATTCTGGAAATCGAACTTGAAAGAATGACATTGTACGTCGCGCGCCTCCACATTTAGTGGCGATAGTTGAAAGTGAACTAGAGAATCAAAACAGAATGATTTCTGAAACGGAAAAGTTCAAACTATAATGCCAATTTCTCCTATTTTCCTAGATAACCACCGTCCACAACAAGCACTTCTCCCGATACGTATTGGGAAGCATCGCTGGCGAGGAATACCGCAGGACCCGCATAATCCTCCGGTGTACCCCATCTTCCCGCAGGGCAGTCGACTATCATAGCCGCTGTTTTCTGAGCATCCGACCGTAATTCGACATTCCTGTTGGCAGGAAGATCAACATCATTCATCTTCAAATAAAATGAGGCTCAATTTCTTACATATCAGTTGCCACATATCCAGGCGCAATAGCGTTGACTTGGACATTATGCTTCGCCCATTCGTTACTGAGGGCCTTCGTTAATTGCGATACGCCCCCTTTGGACGCAGAATACGGTGAATGATTCTCGCCGCCCACAAAACTGTTGATCGAGGCAATGTTAATGATCTTTCCTGATTTTCGAGGAACCATATGTCGTCCTGCTGCTTGACAAATGAAGAACAGTGATTTCAAGTTGACGTCTAGGACCTGCAAACTGTGAGCATTGATGATGAGGCCAGTCCTAGATTTTGCAATCTGGATTGTCTTTACCGTATCCCATTCATCCTCTGAAACCAGAAGGCTATCATTTCTTCTCAAAATACCTCCACAATTAACGAGAATATCGATCCGCCCGTCCATGATATCCAAAGCTTCCTGAAAAACACGCCTTGCAGCATTCGCATTTGCAAGATCACACGCTATCATTCTTGCTTCGAGACCCTTGGCACGGATAACATCGACTGTTTTGGGATTGTTGATGTCGCGCTGGGCAACGCACACGAGCGCTCCTGCTTCGGCCAACCCAATAGCTATTGCAGCCCCGATGCCTCGGGATCCTCCAGTAAGCAGCACATGCCTGCCTTTCAGTGAAAATAGCTGGAGGGCCGGAGAACGAGGTGTGTATGCTGCTACAGAGCCGGACATTTCGAGTAGCTGTACTGTTGTTGAGGTTTGAGTACGAGAGAATGCGAGGGCTTTTACGACGAAGATTGGGGATAGAGGTCTCTGCTCTTTCACTTTGGCAGGGTTTGTCTTGAAATGTGTGCCTCGAGAGTGAGACGGTTCACTGTATCTTCTGAGCATGTAATTCTTCCGGAATCCGGGAACACTTATTTATTGGTAGTTGGCTCGGGTCCTTACCCGACCAGTCTGCCCAAGATCCCAGAGAGCTCCGAGAAGCCGAAAAGTCACCTGAATCTCGGAAGCATACATAACCCGCTAGCCTATGCGCGAAATGCCCATATTACCAGCACGCAGTCCGCTGACGCTTGGCACTTTAGAACCGTTGGCTTACCTCCGTTCCAATTTTCCCATTGACCGAGCTGATTTACCAGTACTCGGAAGAAAACCTTCCACAGGGGAAAAGCCAAGGTAGTTACTACATAGCCACCCCAAGGTTTCCCTCGGCAGGGACGGCTAGCCCAGGGTTGGGTGTCTAAGTTACCCTAAGGTAAGTTGTGCCTAAGAAAATTCGTTCCTGAGTTTTAACGTCCTCGAGGGTATTTACCCTAAGGAATAGTTGCCCTACGCTTATATACTCTAGCGAGAGTTTATTTTTGCGGTCTAGGGACCTAATAGTGATATACTCTTAATATTATTTATATATAAAGCGAAAAATAGATTTTTTTTCTATATTCTAGCCCTTAAACTAAGAATCAAGGTAATAATAAATAATAAATCATAAATTATATAGTAAGGCCCGATAGATATAAAACTATATAGATAATATTAATTCTATCGCTCTATCCTTTTACTATATAGAGGTCCTTTTTACTTCTTTTAACTAGTTTTAGATAGTAGGAGCCCTATAGGAGTTAGGAAAGTTTAAGCTATAGAGAGTTTAGAGAGACCGAGAGAATATACTAATTAAGACCTAAGGTATAACTAAAACCCTGATAAGTCTGTAGAGAAAATAAATACTTCTCCTAACTCTCGAATCTATATACCTAAGTAGATATCTACCCTATATATTTCGCTATATTATTATAACTTATTTTCTAGGGTTATCTTCCGCTAGTTCCTTATTACGCGGTGCCGACTGGTCACTATGAGTTAGAAGGTTCACGGGTTATGCTTACCTAGTTCTAACTACGTATTCTAAGAGTATCTCGTAACCGTACCGTTACTATACGAAGCCTTACGTCGGGTTCGGGTCCTATTAAGTATCTTGTAGAACGTGCTAGAAGTGCGCGCTAACTAAGTCAATCACTAAGTATTACTACTAAGTGAATCCCCTACTTATAGGTTAGGTTATCTTAAAGGTGAACTATAAAGTGTAAAGTACTAAATATAGTAACTAAGTAATAATATATAATTAATCGCGAAGAACTAAATATATAATACGAAATAAGTATCCTTATATATCTAGTCCCTCGTGTCGTGGTCTATAGTTAGGAGTGATTAATAGTATACCGGATTAGTTATTCCTATAGTCCGGGCGGTATACCTAACTATATACCTTAGGTTACGTACGTAGGTAGCCGTTTCGCGCGTCGCGCTAATTATTATATAGAGTAAGCGGGTATTAGTTATAACGGTTAGTAGGAGGCCGTTTCTAGCTCTTTTATCGAAGGGCCTCCTTAGAGCCTTCTAGGGCTAGCCTAAGTATACCGAAACGTACGTGATAACGCTAGTACCTAGCGTCCGTAGAATAATTAGTTTACGGTTATCCCTTAAATAGTTACGGTCCCCGCGCCTCTTTAAGATTTATAATATTCCTTTTCTATTGAAATAATTTCAAAACCTTCGATTATTCGCGCGAGATCTCTACTATTATAATTATTAATATTATAATATTATATAGTTATATAACTACTTACTAAGCCTTTTTCCTTCTAATAAACTATATTATTATTTTCCTACGGGAAACCTATTAGATTAATCTTTAATAATCTTATATTAAATTATATACTCGTATTAAATTATCTACCTAGGTAGGAGACTATTTAATACTCTACTTTCTTACTATTTTATATGATTTTTTACTATATTTCCTAGCTAGATTAAATTAAGTTTATTATCCCTTTTAATCTCTCTTCTAGATTAGTAGTACTCTTCTATAATTATAGTACTTCTAAGAAGGAAAAGTACGTACGACCGATAGACTTATAACTTATAATTAGATACTACGTTAAGTATTTACTAATCCTTATATATATTATTATCTTATATATATAACCACGACTTTATAGTTACTACCTAAATTCTAATAGTTATAAGCCCGACGCCTCGACTCTAACTATTTAACTAATTTAATCTTCTCTTACTTTACTCTTACTTTACTCTTACTTTTACTTTACTTCTTATATAGAAGCAATAGATTTAACTACTCTATAAGCTACCTAGCTTAACTACCTATTAAAATCTAACGTATACTAGGTTCCTTAGATTACTATAGTTAAAGACTATATAATTGTATACGATCTATAGAAATACGCTAATCCGGACTAAGCTACTCTATCTATCCTACCCTAGGAACTAATTAAACTATAGATCTCTAATATAATTAAAAGACCTACTAATACCTATATATCTAATCTTCTTAATCCTCCTAAGCTACTAATTAGGCTTATCGATCTTACGTCTAACTAATTAGCTATTTATAAGATACTACTAAGTAAATACGAATCGTTAAAATTAGACTATCTACGATATCTTCGATCTATCGAATCTCTTAAGTAAGGTATCCGATCCTCGCCTACACTAAAAGGACGTTAAATCGTTAATAGCCTATTAGTATATAAGCTATAGTAAATGTCAACATGTGGATATTATGGGGTCACATGACGAAGGACCCACTCATATAACCCCTCTCTCATCTAGATCTTCTCTATAAGATCTATCGAATTGATCCTCAACGATCTTACATTGAATTGCATACTCGCATTAAATTGCCTATCTAGGCAGGAGACTATCTAACACTCCAATACTCTATCCTTTCTTATGTGATCTTTTACCATGTTTCCAAGATATAAATACTGCTATATTTCCTAGCTAAATTAAATCAAGTTTATTATCCTTTGTGATCTCTCTTCTAGATCAGTGGTACTCTTCCACAATCGTGGTACTTCTCCTTCTTAGAAGTGCGCACGACCGATAGACTCATAACCGTGTATTCAGACACCACGTTGAGTATTTACCCTTATGCACACTATCGTCTTGTGTGTATAACCACGACTTTATGGTCACCGCCTAGAGTCCGACAGTTATGAGCCCGACGCCTCTACTCTAACCATTTAACCTATTCAATTCAATCTTCCTTTACTTTACTTTCACTATCGCTTCACTTCCCACACAGAAGCGATGGATTCAACCACGCAATAAGCCACCTAGCTTCACTACCCACTAAAATCTCACGCACACTGGGTTCCATGGATCACTGCGGTTAAAGACCACGCACTAGCTAATAATGTGTGGAAATATGCCGATCCGGACCAATCCGCACCGATTACCCCGCCTCAGGAACTAGTTAAACCACAGATATCTAATATAATCAGAAACCCTACCAACACATACACATCTAATCTTCCTGAATAGCCACTCAGGCTCATCGACCTTACGTCTAACCAATTAGCTATCTATAAGATACTGCTAAGTGAATATGAATCGTCGAGATTAGACTACTTTCGATATCTTCGATCCATCGAATCTCTCAAACAAGGCATTCGATCCTCTCTCACACCAGAGGGTAGGCAGATTGTCAACGGTCTGTTAGCATATAAAGCTATAGTAAAACTACGTGCTACCTTTGCCCTATCCGACCAATCAAAGAATCGTCAAATCCTACGCGATTGGGATAAGCTAAAACGACAAGCTCCACCAACCAAATTATCTCAACTACCTATATAGGGTCAAAAGTGGCTAATTAGCCAATCGGAAGGCGAGAAAGCAGCAATTGCCTACTTCCAAGACTATCTATCTCTAGTATACGATTTCCTAGAGACAATTCAACCTAGCGATTAAGGGTTCTACACTTTCTAGTATAATACAATCCTATAGGGTCTAAAGAGACCTACCCTAACCGAACTAGTTAATCAATTTATCGATCAATACCGACCGCCTACTATAACCAGCAGTGGTAGAAGACGACCTATCGTATATACGACCTACTAAGGACATTAACCTAACGAATCAGACGAAGAAGGACCTATATAATCAACCAGAAGAAGGAAGTGCCCTTATAGGGGAATGCCTAACGCTAGCAACCACGATTTCGAGATATGTCGCTATGTGAATCCTAAGGCAAGACCTAGGGGGTAGTAACCTGACCTAGAGGTCTAAGAGCGATTTAAAAAGCGATGCGATAAGTCTAGAGGATTTAAGGTAGCCTATCAACGTGTAATTCGACGTTACTAACCAACTAATTCGACCAATTCGACTAATCCGACTAATTCGACCAATCCGACTAATTCGACCAATCCGACTAATTCGACTACTAGAGACGCTTTCTCTACCTATATACTAAAACAATAGGTCGAGACTCTCTTTCGAGAGGAAGATAGTGTTGTAATAAGCACTATCCGGATTCCTACCAAGAAGAACGATACCTAGTACTATAATACCGGAGTATTAATTCATATCACGAATAATAGGGACCTACTATCAAACTATAGGCCCGTTATGTCCTCTGTCATAGTTAGAAACACCGAAACCACCATCCTTAGTTATAGTAAACTATCTGTTAAACCATCAGAATCTCTTAATAGAACTACTTTCCCTTTAAAATAAGTTGCCTATTATCCTAGATTCCACATCAACCTAATCTCTGCAGAAAGAGCTACTAGCGCAGGCATCTATCTAAATAGTAAGGATTACCTACTAGAAGAGAAGGACGGAAGACCTATCTATAAGCTTAACGCGAAATTAGGCATCTACCTAATTCGATGGGACGATTTAACCACTGACCGACCTACTACTAACCACGC